CATTCCATGTCTCTTGTATAGACTGAAACAAACATACAATGAAAAATCAAGGATTATTATGGATGAAGAAACATCAGGCTGCCAAATAAGAAAAACTTAATTAAGTCGAAGAAACATAATGCTGGTGCAAAGAGCCAAACTTAAGTCAGTGATTAAACATTTAACTAAAAATAATAAATGGTACAGCAGGGGGTGGGTTGTTCCTTTTAATACTTATGGTTGTTAAATTAAAAAAAGAGGAGAAGAACAACCAATGTCTAAGTTTCAAAGCTCATTTTAAGTTAATGCCCTTTGCTGAACTTCCATTTAAATTTTGAGAAGTTGGAGAGCAATTACTCACTCCGTGATATGATTTATTATGGACTTAAAAGTTCTGAGCATTAGTTAACCCCTTCCGTCTAATAGGTCTAATATGCAACAACAACAAATAAAAAATAATAACACAAAATTCTGAGTATTAATTAATCCCTTGTGTCTCATAGGTCCAATGGGCAAAAAAAAAAAAAAAAAAAAAAAACATAATAGTTAAACATCTCCAACTTGTGTCTAATTAAGCAGTACTTTTTACAACTATAGCTTCTAGATCACCTTTCAGCACAAAATATGAGAACCCTTGTTTCATTATAGTTAGTTAAGACAACTCAACTACTGTTAATTTTTTTTTAAAAGTAGGTTTAGGCTGTTGCTATCAATTATTTGAGTATATCTGGACATCCCCCCCCCCCCCAAAAAAAAAACATTATTGCCCACCACCATGGGATCTATGGTCTAGAGCAGTGGTTCTCAACATTCCTAATTCCGCGACCCTTTAATACAGTACATCATGTTGTGGTGACTCCACAAGACAAAGTTATTTTCATTTCTGCTTCATAAATATGTGTTTTCCCATGGTCTCAGGCGACCTCTGTGTAAGGGAGGAGTTGCGACCTACAGGTTGAGAACCACCGGTCTAGAGATTTGTTGCTTAGATGAAAATGAAAGATTGACAAGGGAGTGAAACATACCTTTGTGGTTTTTGTAGAGAACGTCTGGATCTGTGGCATCGGACACTAAAGTATTCCTGGAGCACTTAACTTTAAGTTTAAACTGAATTGTGTCCTCACTGGTTTGCTCTTCTGAGTCTGGACATCACATCAGGAATTAGTTGATTCATAAAATTTTTGTAAAATTCAATAAACTCGTTCCAGTCATAACATTTTTATTTCTCTGACTCAGAGGAAGTCTTAAAGTTTTTACAAATATGTGCACCAACGCGGCCCATTTAAATTAATCATGATTAAAAACAGGACTCCTACTGAAGATAAGTTACTTTATTCCGACTGCTTCCACCCCCACTCCACATCTCTCTTTTGAAAGAAAACCAACAAGCCAAAAATATATATTTTTTTTCCCTTTCCCCTATACAAGTATTGATGTCCCTCTCGAATGTTTCTTAAGTGTTTCATTAAGAAAGGACAAAACTTTGTCTCTAGGATCACCAAAGCCATCTTGGAGGTGGAAAATGTGTTGATATAATTAACTACACAAGCAGCACTAGATGTCACAGTAATATTTTAAAGGAGAATGTACTGCGAACCTTTCTGTCTGTACTCAAACAACCTGGGGTCAGCTTTGATAGGGATCAGGCCAAGTCTGTGTGCCAGGACTTCATCTTGAATTATGGACGTGTTGTTCCAGATGCTGACTGTTTCTATGGCCATGGTGGGGACCTTGTTGAGGGAGCATTGTGCTTTAGTCAAATACACCCATTTGAGTATCAATTCTTTTCTTAATTACACCACTTTTACATTTCCAAACGGTTGTTTTTAAAGAACAAACATTTTTCTGCGTAGCTTTAAAAAAGAATTTTTAATTTGGATATGTATTAAAGTAACAGTTTCTGACGCAAGTCATATGTAAAAAAAAAAAAAAGTAAAAAAGAAATTTATTTAAAAGCAATGGCTCAACTATAGCAAATATAACCAATGGTAGCCACCTGAAAAATCTATAATGTCTCATAAAAGTGGGTTAATGTGTGGACTCAAGTGGAAACATTACTCATCGCTCTAACTTTGATGTTAACAATTAGAGGCATGTATAAGTACAATATTTAAAGGCATGCAGTGAAATTGTCTCACAGACTTCAACCTACCAATAGAATATATCTTAAATTGATTACCTCGGCCAGAAGAATCCTCCTGACAGCATTGGCTATGGCAGCATCCACACCAACCATGTCAAACTCCATGTCACATCCAGAAAGACTGACTATGTCAATTTGAAAGGTCTGAAATCACAATACATATTCTAAATGCTATTCCTTTAATTAAAAAGACAGTTTTCATGGTAATAAATTTTTAAGCAATTCAATCTCAATACTCATATAATCAAACTTTTTTTTTTTTTAAAGGCCAGACATTCCTTTATACCTCCTCAAATTTCCCCTGACTCCAAGAATCATCATAGCCATTGTATGTGCCTGGAAAATCTGTGCTGTTTACCTGTAAAAAAAATTGTGTACATATTTGTTTGAGAAAATGACCCAAAAATTTTAAAAAGTGTCAGATATTACCTTACTGTTACAGTTAGGGTAACCTAAATTAACATACAAACCAGGTTGACTGTAGGTATATTTGAAGTATCAGGGTAAAAAAAAAATCTTTTAAATTATTTGTAAATGAAGAAGATTCAGTGGTAGGGTGCTTACAAAAACATGGTCAAAATTTTGATAGAACATTTCCGTAGTAGAAAACATTCATCTGAAGAAACATGACGTCATCCAGAATTTATTTGTCATGCATTCTTAGTTTTGTTAATAAAAATACTTTCCAGAATCGTTCTTACTGTCTCTCTTATTTCCTCATATATGTGTAGCTATTTGGTCATTGTAAAAATTTCCATGCCTCCCCCAACTGGACAAAGTTAGATGAAAAAGATGGGTGAGCACCGCGACTTAACTACTGCGCTTTGTGGGATGATAATAATATGACAGGAAAATCTTCGCTTAAAAGTAATCGAGATGAGAGCTGGGGTACAAAAGGTTTCACGATTGAATGACTATGGTGGGCAGTGTGAACCATTTATGGTACCATGTTATTTAAATAGGTAGTCTAGCCAGGTATGGGAGAGTGTGTGTCCATCCTGTATTGTTGAGACATTGGGGACAAGTACCTGGTATTCAGAGATCGGAGTATGAGATGTTCAATGAGTAGAAAGCAAGATACATGTTTTGTTTGTAGTTAGTGCAATTCAGTCCTGAATGAAGAATGTTTAATACAATAATATCTCACTTAGGCTTAGTATTTTTTTTGTGGTTATTACACATGTTAAATACATAATATAAATGCAGGCATATTCTGTTAATTTTATAATTTATTCTTATTTTCTATGTAATATGTCTTCTTCTTTCAAATTATTGAGCATGATCATCATGCAAACTAACTGCACATATCACCACTTTGCTTTGGTCCCAAGAGCTTGTTGTCACTTACGGTTATAAAGTTTATAATTTTAAATTATGGCTTGTTGATAAACAGTATTCAACAAAGGCACGATACCATTGATTTCCTACAGTAATGAAAGAACGATACCAAAACTAGTGGTAATAACAAATAATAATTTGTTTAAGATAAGTTTAAAATACAAAATCTGATAAAATAAAATACAAATCAATTAACAAACAGGTTAGTAATGAAATGGTACAATGTTGGGAAGGTGCACACACACAGTAAATATAATGTACAAATCTATGGTATAGTCAGTTAGTCAGTACAATATGTCAGTCTCTTCGTCTCCCTTTCAATCTGTCTCAACCGCCTTCTCGTCAGTTATACCAAAATCAATGACATCCAGTGTTTACATTTTAAACAAGGTCAAGGGAGACAATTTACAATAAGGCTACACAGGCTGTCGCCAAAAGTATATAGTCATTGCGCATGCCGTGATCAGCGGAATGAGGTCACAAGATGTAGAGGTTTCGTCCATAGTAAAAAATACCAAACGAACTCACACTTTAAAAATTCATCGCTCAAAAAGTACTTAAGATAAAAAGTTGATTCTAGTGTCATTTTTTTATTTGAAATTTGCTCTGTGTTATTAAAAAAATTATTTCAATTTTTTAAAATTTTGTATTCAAGTGTATTATTAGTATTACTAGGTACATTCCCCAGATGCAAAAGAAATTTGGTAGTGACAAATCTTTTCCTTCGACTTAATTTTAATGATGAAAGTTGCCTTATATTTAACAAGGATTTTCTCAAAGCTGACTGATTGTAAATGAAAAAGAAATTGATTAAAATGTAGGCCAAGATGTCCACCTAATTATAAGGCCGAAAACGGAACTCAAATATATATTATATAATTATATATCGAACGTACTAATTTAATAATAGACACACACACAGCGGAAAATTAAAAACTCGGATTTTTCGGCGCCGATTTCTATTTCCTATACACAAAAAGTAGTAGTCTCCCTTTTTTCATCGAAGTATCTATACTAATACAGTCTACTAATACTAGTACTAGTAATACTCTCAGGCCTCAGGAATCATGATTTCAAAATTTCATAATTAATCAAATTAACTCACATTATCAATTGTGTATTCAGTAAGATTAACTTTTCTCCTCAACTCTTCGAGGTGGCTCATAATTCTTTTCTTTTTTTCTCTCTCTTTGTAACGTAGGTAGCACTACTGATTGAGACTATTGAATTTTCTTAAGTTCATCTGTCTCTTACAATTAGGTGCAAAATGTGTCTCTAAAAAAAGAAATATTAGAGTAGCCTACCTTGGTTTAAAAAAAAAAAAATAATTAATGTCAGGAAATCAAATAAATTATATAAATATATATTCAAACTTTGAGAGAATAGTATTTATATAAATAAAACCTTAAATATCTTTATTTAAATTTTAAATTCTGAAAACTAAAATTGAATCACTTTTATCTGCGTACAGTATATTTTCAAAATAAGTTCACATAAATTTATGGAATCCGAATTTTTGCTGTGCTATGTAAACCGGAAATAATTCTTTACCCTGTCAATTGTTTGTGGGAGGGGTATGAGGAGATTATTATTCGGTTGAATACTGAAAAGTTCGCGAAAATGGTAATAAATTCCTGATCGTTGAAAAGTTTTTAATGTTTTTGTTAAGCTAACATGATGCCAACAACTTCAGCCGCTTATATATGGCCTATAGCCCTACAATGCTAGTGACCGGTATCTAAAAGTTTACTTCCCTGCCCCATCCGAATCAGTCAGACAGCCAGAGTTCTTTTTTAGTTTTTAGGCTTTAAGTTAAGGCCTTAACTTTTGGTTTTATTATTATTAGCCCTTCCTTAGGTGCCCGTTGATGTTGTACCAGTAAAATGCCTCTAGCTGATCTGGCTATAGTAGGCTGCACTGATTAGTTCATAGCCTAAAACTAGGCTACTGGTTTTTTTTGGTTACTACATTTAATTATAATTTTATTATTTTATTTGTCCAGTACTAATCAAAATCTTAAAAACCAGTAGGCACTTTGGTATCGCCCGGAAATACCCGAAAAACGGGTATCGTAATGTTTTGTAAATTTGGCCTCATCCACTTTTTAATTTACTGAGGGTATAGTTGGTTTGCCTTTTTTAGTCAATTTTTAGAATAATCATAAATTCTACAGCCGCCAGTTACTTAAAGCCGACAACTTGCTTGTTCTATTGAGAGTTCATTTGATATTTTGTTTCAAGGTTAAAGCTTTGAAAATTGAAGTTAAAAATGGGTGAACTTTTTATTTTCTCTCGACCCGGATGCGCCAGTTCAGTTTATTCAAATACGGATTCTGGGTTGCAAAAAAAAAAAACTATTTGTAAGATATGCAAAAGCCTACTCTGTGAGAGCATGTTTGCTATAAATAGTACAGGTTCTGTGACCTCCTGCTTTTGTTTGCAAGCCTCTTGCTTTTGTGTGTAAACATTGCACAAGAAAATATTTCTAATTTCTACAGTGTATGAAATTTATGAGTTTCATGAAGTTTAAGAGTTTGAAAAATTTGTAAATGATGTTTGAGGTTTCAAGAAATTTTTAGAAAGGGATTCCATGGTTCACAGCTTTCAGTGAGTGGCACCCCTGGTTGAAATTGATGGACTTATATTCTTACTCAGAAGAGCCATCCATAAATACATAAAGTCACTATTTCCACACCTCCCACAATCACCCCCCCCTTCCCCAAAAGAAAACCCAACTTCCCCCACGCCCATGCATGATGTCATTATTGTTTGCCCCTAGTACTAAACCTTTTATGTTGGTTGGATGATACCTTGTGCAAATTTTCATGGTAGAACCCACCATAAACATCACATACAACTCACAATCATTAAAACTACTGTACTAAACCTAAATTTGTAACTGGGATGACCAGCATCTCTTTTTAAAAAAAACAACACGATTACATTTGTAGGATACTAACTTAACAGTTTATCAGAGGCATCACACAATTCTACAGCTTGCCAAATTTGTAATGAAAAAGAAAAAATAAAAAAAAAACATTCTGCACGAACACAATCAATATAACTGTAATATGCTAGTATTTATTAACACATTTATTGTTGTTTTTTTTTTTTCATTTTCTCAGCCACTCAATGTCTCTCCTTAACTTCATAAAGTAAAATGTGGTGGACCTCAGATTCTCTATTTTATATCTAATGCATTTTTCCCCAATTGTTTCCAGATTCGATTCATCCTTATTCAGAATAGAGCAGGCAAGACTAGACTGGCTAAGTGGTACATGCATTTTGATGATGATGAAAAACAGAAATTGATAGAAGAAGTCCATGCAGTTGTCACTGTGAGAGATACAAAACACACCAACTTTGTAGAGGTAAAAGTAATTATGATGCAGTAAATTTTACCTACTAAAAGATTGGGTTTGTGCAATATTTTGAAAAAAGTGAGCTCGACATAATAACATAACATAAAATATTCAAAATACAAATTTTCATTAGCAAGTGTTAACTGCTACTCCTTTGTATAGATAAAAATCATAAAGACTTCAGCAGAAGTGGCTAGCGAGCCATTTGATCGTGAGTCAACTCTTCGCTGGCCACATCTATCAAATAAAATAAATACCATAGCCATATAAACATTATTAATAATTACTTTTTTTCTTCATTTTTTGTATGTAATGAATACACTTCTACACATGCCACCAATATACTTACATAAAGTTTATAGATTTTAACTAAGAAATAACTCTATAAAAATATATACAGATACGGATTGGGTCACTGTCAATAGGATTGTCATAGAATGGGGTGGGGGAGAAGGAAATTAGGACACTAACTAATGGCTCTGGAGGAAAAGTGGGAAATTCTTGTTATAAATTCAAAATGCAGGGATGCATTTTGGTGAATATCTGATTTAGTTTTGCATCATTCTACACTTAATTGGGAAGCAACAGAAGAAACGCTAGTGGAAATATAGGTGCCCCTTGACATGGTTGTGTTGATAAAATCTTTTATTTTCAGTTAAGATTTGAGATCATTGATAGTGACTGAATTTTTAACAAATCAGACCGAAATAGGGGCTGGTATGCCATGCAGGTGCTTAACGCCGCAAAAAGAATGCAAATTGAATAAAGCAGACCTGTTTACCCTCAAACTCTTAAAATCGTACAATATCATCACAAAATCTTTCAATACATTATCAATCTAATAGTAAAAAAATAATCATACAGTATATTGTATAAAGTATACACCTCATAATCGTACATTGTACGCCAAAATCGTAAGAGTAAACAGGTCTGATAAAGAAATTCATTTGTTATACATCTGAAGGGCAGAAAAATTTAAATTAAAAGAACTGTTGACATTGGCGATTAGTGAGTATGTTAGACTTACAATTAGGCTGACAACATCTATTGCTTTTGGGCCAAAAATTAAATTATTTGTAAAATAAAAGAGCAATAAAAAAAATACTAGTAAAAATCGTAATTTTGCGCTAATATCTCAGGTGACGCGCGCTGCTTAAAGGGAAAATTGTATGTAAATAAATAAATATAAAGCCTTGGGTGATTAAATCATTGAATTTCTAAAACCTTTTTAAAATTTTTAAATCGGTGCTTTTTAAAAAGCTGTTGAAATACTTTTAAATAAATTTATTTGCTGTTATCATTAAAAGTAAAAAAAAAAAAAGTAATTTTTAATTTATAAAAATAAATCTATTAGGGATTCATTTGTGTTTTGTATTCCTTCTTGCAGTTTCGAAATTTCAAAATTGTTTATCGTCGCTATGCTGGCCTGTATTTCTGTATCTGTGTTGATGTGAACGACAACAATCTTGTCTATCTGGAGGCTATTCATAACTTTGTGGAAGTCCTAAATGAATTTTTCCACAATGTGTGTGAACTTGACTTGGTTTTTAATTTTTACAAGGTAGGTATTTACAGAAATTTGTCTGTTGACATGTAACAGATACACTAAGTTTAGATATTGATCTTGAGAAGAAAAATCAGCTCCTTAGTTAAAATATTTTACTTGTAACATTCAAAACCATGTTGGGTAGGTAATTTCCAGTTAAGTCTGCAAATAGGCTTTCACTTTTATTAGCTTCATTTAATCAGACCCATAAAATTTAAGGTCCCTTTTCTAATTTTTTAACTCTCTTCCTTGAATATTTATATGGATTAGTATTGTTTAAATTTTGCATCAGTTTTATTGTTCCCCTCTCTCCCATCAGGTGTACAGCGTAGTGGATGAAATGTTTTTGGCGGGGGAAATTCGGGAGACCAGCCAAACAAAGGTTCTGAAACAGCTACTCATGTTGTCTTCATTAGAATAAATCATGGAGGAAATTTGTTCTGTGCAATAAATTAGAAGAACAACAGTCGTTAAACTATGTCATTGGGAGACCTAGTGGTTAGATATTTAGTTTAATGTTTTAAACATATAAGTACGGTAATACCTTGAATATTTGCAAAATTAGGTTCCGGAACCCGTCTCGGATCAGGAGGAATTGCAAATGTTTGGTACGAATCATTAAAAGTACTAATAAATGCATTATTCCTAGAGTTTAAACCCTAAATATGACCCAAATCCAGCTCCCAAAGCACTTTAGTTCCATTTAAAATATAGCTGAATACATTAGCATTTTAAAATAAATAAATCAAGGTACATAAAGCATCCGAACTAAAACCAATCAGCAACAAGGCAAGTTGGTGGCCTGCCATGGGATTGACTACTCAACAGCGTGTCATCATGTAGCCTACGTCATCGGCAATATCGGATGCAGTATCCATTCTCTATGAAAATTAGCAGAAAATTAATAATTTGTGTGTTGAATTTACGTTATCATTTTAATTAACTCAAGTATTTTCAAATAATTGTGCACCCATCAGTGTTGCAAAGGGATTAAACTTTGTGAATGGTTATCACATCAGTTAGTACTTTACATAAAAAAGGAACATTGGAAAGCAGTTTTTTTGGAAGGGATTTCTTGTGTCTTTAACTTTCCCCTCAAAAAACGTTTCAAAAATTTTTATTAACAAAATTTTTCTTTTTGATTTTACACTTAAATGCATGGAGCTTATAAATTACTTTAAAAATTTTAATATAAACACTTCTGCAGGTTTTTTTGAGGAATTTGCTGATCTGTGAAAAAATCGCAAATGTAAATAAGTTAGGTTCCAATGAAAATATTGCGAATTCCGAAACGCAAATGCACAAGGTATTACTGTATATATTGAGCTGAATCATTTAGTTGGTCATATAAAAATGAAATAGGATTATGTTTTAAAATATTCTTCTTTCCAGTAAATACTCAAATGTCAGTATGTTTTGTTTGTATGTAGGAAATCATAACAAACAATGTTTAATGATGTGTAGAGATATGTACATGTATTTACAAAGAAGGGAATATTTGCGAACATTGTATATATAATAAAAATGTTAATTACATAAAATTCATTTTGTTTGTTTGGACTACACCTTACTTGAAAGGTTGCAATCTTTAAAGTCACTTAGGGTTTTAACATTGTCTGATAAAGTGATGGCTTTAGGTATAGATGGCTGCCTAGAGCTGCACTTTTCAAGTGTGGCAAACTGTAGTGAAATAAAAATATGTGTGACCTTTTTTAAAATATATGAAGGCTGTGCATTATCTGGTCACTGCAGAGTTTTTTTTCCATAGAAGTTTGGTAGCAGCAAATTTCTTGTCCAACCCCTGACTGTGCTAACCATGGCTGTGGCACTGATTGTACCTCTGGCCAAAAAGTCACATAGATTCTCCACTCAGCAACACACCCTTTTGTTTATAGATTTTGTCATTTCAGACTCGGTGATACAAAAATCAATACAAGGAAGCAAAATGCAATATTCATTTGATAGAATAAATAAACATTTTTTGCACTTTCAACCAATATTTTCACATTCCATTAAATAGGTAGCCTTGATGTGTTTTACATTCAGCCTGGTTTCTAGTTATTCTCATTATTTCAGGTCTTATTAACTTATACACTCCTTGTCACTGACAGAATTATTTTCATTTAACATACTAATAATAACAGTAACAGGATTTTATACATTGATAGATTCAAGTAAAATAGAATGAGACTAAATTTATCCTACTAGCTATTAAATACAGTAAAAAAAAAAAATTCCCTTTATTTAAATCTAACATCCTTTTTAATTTGATTCCTTAGGTTAAAACAAAAAAAAATTGTTTTTTTTTACAATATTGTTTTGTGTTCATAAAAATACAATAAAGTAGATTAAAGAATAGCTAATTTGCCTCCCTCAAAAATTTGTAAATGTATCTATTTGTGTTTCAAGTTGAGATCCGTTAGCAGTTTCATTATTTCAAGTGAATTGTCTCAAATTTAAATCAATCGAGACATGTTGCACCAACAAGCTCAAGACCTGAAATTTAAGTCAGGAACTTAGTAGTTTGACTAGATGGATTTCACTTTACCGGTACTCAATATTTTTTTTCAATCTCAGATTTTGTTATTCCGAATTTTTTCTAGTTTAGTTTAGCTTTCCCTGTGTGTTTTTACATACCGGGGTACATATTTGTTTATCAAAGAGGAATCCAGTTATTTACATCTGAAGTTTTGGTCACTGTGAATGAAAAGATAACATTTGTCAGTAGATTGATGTGTAACTTTGAAATTATATATAAATATATTTGTTTGTGTGTTGGTGTATTATGTAATAAATTCAATTAAAGATAATCGAACATTAATGTCAGAAAGAAATGACTTATTAATAGTTTTTTGTTTGTTTTTTTTTCATTTTAATATTCCACAAGTAAATAATTACCATTATCTAAACATCTGTTGCTTTTTTTGTTTGTTTTAATAGTTTTATGTTGATTATTGAAATGTACATGTCTATATATTTCAATGTATTTCTTTGGGCTAAGAAGATTAAATGTGAGTGATAAAATAAGATTCTCTTATTGATCCAAATAAATGGAAATGTACTTTGATTACATTGTACATTGTTATTTTCAGCACATAAATAAATAAATATTTTATCATAGACAACTTTTTACAGTTGGTACAATTTAAACATAAGACATCTCAATTATTTCTCCATAGTAATTAAACAACCCCTAAAAGCAAGGTTTTTCGTTAAAATTTTTTATGAAATGTAATATCAAGCTGTGGGGGGGATGGGGCTGAGAATTTGACTAAACATGCATACCAGTAATGCACTTTATAAGAATCCCCCTTCAAAAAACCACCCTAATTTTATCACTGTAACCTTCTGCAGGCCAGAGGATTGATGAATTTAAATTCCTTAATCAAACAATACTACCTATAAATCCTGCCCATATAATATTTTATTTTGTAGGTATTAATTAATAACTGGTATCGTATTTAAAAAAATGAATTCCATTATTCTTGAAATTGTACTTCAAACTGGAATCAAACTGTACTGATTTGTACGAGTATAAACTTAACTATCCTTAAGTTTACAAAAAGTAACGCCTTAAGTTTACAAAAAGTAACGCCTATGTTTCTATTTCCATGGTTAATGCAAGACTGCCTATTTCAAGTATTTCAATATTTATGAACAAAATGCAGCTTATTCATCATGAATTGTTGTTAGAAATTTTTAATTGTCTTAGCATTAAAATTAAAGTTTTACATTTTCTATTTCAGCTGTAAAAAACAAAAACTATTAACAAACGCTCCCAGACGTTATGAAAACATTTCTGATACACCTTTATGAAAACATTTCTGATACACCGGTAATTTAAATTGTTTTTTTTAAAAATACCAAGTTGGTTGCCATGAAAAAGTATAATATGGAGAGGGATCTGCAGCAGCTGGGAATTCAAGCATGGAAATTGAAAAAGAAAAGCACAAGTTAGGTCTGAGTGGAAGGATGTGGTGACGTAGGCCAAAGCCCTACATCGGCTGTATTTGCCACAGAGATGGATGGATGAAAGACTAAACAATATATCTTCTTATATAGCAAATTTAAATAAAAATTGGTATGAAAATTATCTTCATTACTCTCTAAATCCATGATTTTAATCACACGAAAACTCCACACCAATACCCCACACCTTTTCGGAACCAAAGGACATTTTCCAAAAAATGTTCGCCCTGAATTACTCAAACAAAATGAACAATAATTGACACTTTGGGAACTAAGTCAATAGATGAACTTTATTTTATGAATGAACAGCATCAAATTCATTATGGCATATGACAAATAAATATTTTACATAGTATTATATTTATAGCAACAATAAAAACATGGCCTCTTAGGTTTTTATTTCTCTAAAACACTGATGAGACCTGAAACTCTGCTACCGCATTTAACTATGTTCAGGTCAGACCATTTCACTCTCAGATACAATTCAGACTTCTGGTGGACTTGATAAAATTATGACATTTTAATCAGATATGATCAATTCAAAAACATTTTTTGAATACCTTAAATTAAAAGCCTATAAAAGTATAATTTGAAGTGCTCTATCAAGTTGATTTGTATAATAAATTTCTACAACGGGGTCGCTCGCAAATTACGTCTCGCAAAAAATTACCTTTTCAGACCCACCCCCATCACAAATTCTCGACCCCCACCCCACTGAGCGTGACGTAACATACCAACGACCCCTAATTGCATTGTCAATATCGTTTCAGCTACTGCGACTAAAAGTGTGATCTGAGGAAATAGGATTGTAGCTCCCTCTAGTGTCTCTATGCGTCCTATAGAAGTCTGATACCGGGTAGTATACAATACTTCTTATGCAAGCAGAGATACCTCATAAGTGTTACTAATGTGTTATACCGGTATCTATTTCTGGGAAATACCATTGCATTTGTCAGTAAAGGACTTCATGGTAACATTTCTATGAGGTTTTTGGAGAAGCAATTATTTTTATTTTCTTAAATGGCACAAAGTTCCATCTATTTCCAGGGGGAGAATGATCATAATCTGAACCTGGTCTTTCCTTCTTAAATTAAATATGCCTACCTGAACATCTGGTAAAAAAGTTGACAATGTTAAGATTTCACTAAGCAAATTTTAAAATGCCAAATTGAAAAATAATAATTTTTATTGTTTTCTATGATCGGTATCTTGAGCTCGCCATAATAAAAAAAAAAAATGTAATTTTCCGTTTTCAAGTTGCTAAATTGACCAAAATTTAAGAAACACTAATGTGTACGAATTGACAAATGAAAACTTTAGGGTCTGCTTACCCATTCGTAAAGCTCCAACAGGTAGGTGGCGCCATCTTGAGTAATTATTAGCAACAATTTTAGTTAATAAGAGAAAAATCTCTTATTACTAGTACTAGTGTGGCCTTCACTAATAAAAATATGCCACAAATTTAAAAAGTTTAATGACTGTCTTTCATAAATACAGGTATGTATATCATGGAGTATAAATGCATTATTAACGTAGGGCTCTTCACATCTCTAAATTTAGACCAGGCTGACTTTACTCACAATAAAAGAGATCTTTCACTGCCTTCCCACCCTGCTAAACCAAATGCCACCCAGCTATACTCTAATGCCAACCTGCTATGTGTCACCCTGCTATACCAAATGCCATGCAGCTATACCATAATGAAAACCAGCTATACCATAATGTCACCACCCCACTAGGCCAAAATCTGCTGGGTAGATCAGTAAATTCACAATATAAAAATGTTCCTCAAATCCTGTTTGAAGAGCCTTGAACTCAATCCGTGTACCAGTGATATTAAACCTTCATTTAGTAAATCACCAAAAGATGTACAAGAAATTAATATAAAAGTATTGAAGAAAAACACTGAGGAACATGACTGGTCAGTGTGCACAGCTACCCACTTTATACCAGAGTTGCCAAACAGTTTCTTTTAAATGAGCATTTAATATTTTTCTCCCCAAAAGATATAGCCGAATTTCATAAATTCAATTTTTTTTATCTACCTTGGTTACAAGGAATTTCTGATTAACAGTTCTGTATAACTTGTAACCAAAAGCTTAGCAAACATAGCCTATAATTTTTTGTAACCACCAAGTCTTAAAATTTGCTTTCCAACTCACCAGTCCTAAACTGTGTGGATGGTGTTAAATGCCAGAGGTAGCCAAACAGAAACAGTGGATATGTTTATTTGTAGGTCTCTAACCTCTCATTCTTTTTGAATAAACTGAAGACCCATTCACTTAAACATTTGTTAATAACAATGACAGTAGAACTTAACTTTATAAGACCATTTACAATTTTCCCCAGTTTCATAACACAAAAACCAGACAACTTTCTCATGATTAGCAACAGGACTCTAAGATTTTACACAAGTACAAAGCTTTACAAAGAAATAATTAATAAAACAAAATTCTTCAGCAGATCTGGTTTACAAGTGAGATCCAGGGTACTCAGTTTTAAAACAGAATATAAATCTCTGTGACATAGAAAATGAACTTTCTATCTACCAGTATCTACCGGTAGTAATTTTTTTTCTTCTTTAGTTCCTTTCTGCTTATGAGTAAGATATTTTAAAAGAGAGCTTGTTTGGAAGGGAAATATTTGAAGATTTGTATAAAGCCTAGAGAAGCAACAGCCATGGTGGCTGTGTTTTTAAGTTGTGTGAGATCTCACCTCCAGTAAGAATAAAAACTTAATTTTTGTGTGTTGATTTTTAGTTTTGGAATTGCTTTATTTAAGCTTTAAGTTTAAGTATCTGCTGGGTTCAGATGAAAACTCACACACTCCCCTAGTCTCTGCCCCTACAAAGGGGTGAAGACTATGTTACATAAAGATTATATGCACAATTAAAATATATTATTTCAGAACTCGACAGTCTTACAACTGTTAAGAAATAATAATTTTTTTTTTTAAAAAGGGAAATGAGAAAGACATTTCAGATACGTACAAACTTCTCGAACTAAAAATAAAAATAATTAAAAATGCCCCATTTTGGATAGGACAGAGCAAAATATCTTGTTAACTTAAACACAGTTCTTGAAGTCAAATAGGTTTAAATGTAAAGAAAATATAATTTAAAAAAACAATACTTGCTGAGTGGCTGACCAAATTGACTGGGATTGGCAAATATATGCTTATAAATCCACAGAAATTTTAGAAAATATGTTTAATCTAGCCTGATAAAAAGTGACAGTGTTCCATTTATCAATTTTAAAATCTGAACTTAAATTACCATAAAAAGTCTTGTCTCGTGAAATGGATGCTTTAGTGAATTCAAGTTATAAGTATTCCTTTTGTAATTGGGTTAAAATATATTCAGAAATGGCTGCTGACAAGATATTAAAAATATTTTCTAAAAAAAAAAAAAAATGTCTAAAAACTTTCTTTAATTGTTTTTGTACGGCAAAAGCCATTCATTAAATTTTTTTTTTTTTTTATTCAGATGATTTGTCCATCCAAGAATACATAAAAAAGTTCCTAAAGACAATTTAAACCTTCATCACTTAAAAAAACTCTCTTTAACATGCATAGGCTTTGCTATTCTAATATGTCTGTGGTGATACTGTTGATTTGGCCAACCCCATGAAAGGGTAACGAAATGGATTCCACGCCATCACTTGGATTGTCCAGGAGATGAGATTTCAAAAACTGGAAGTGTAAACAGAGGACAAAAATATGGAGGAACTCGAGGATATTCTACAGCATATACAAAATATAATTTTACAAAGTGATACCCGAAGATTGTCAAATCTTAATGTAAAGGTAACAATGGGAAGTAAAAAGATGATGCTGATATACTGAGTTTGAACAAGGGCTAGAGTAGATTCCCATTTTGCAAAGAACAGTCACAAAAATTAAGCAAATCGTTGATTAAAAAAAAATCTAAAAAGTTGATTCCAATACTGCAATTATCTTTTATTTATTTAAAAAAAAAAAATTAACCATCTCTTATAACAGTCTCTTTTTAATTCTGCGATAGAGTGCTAAACGTCTACTGGTAGCAAAAATATTAGAAAATTTACCATTAGCAAGGTAAGTTTTAAAATTCTTTATGAAATATAAATTGATCTGAAAATATTTAATTAAAAATTTTTTTTTCCATTAAAAAATGGAAAAAAATCCTGTGATAAAAATGGTTTGAGACACACAGCTCTTGTTAA